GATTGTTAACAACCAGAGGACCAGGATGCTTGCTACTAGATAGTGTATTCTGGACATGATAGGGAAGCTGCACCCTTAAAATCTCCACAATATGGTTGCCTAAACATGTTTTTCATAATGATAGCACACCTGACATGCCTAGGGTCCCATCTCTAAATGAAGAGCTATAAGCAATCAACAGCTGCTGAGGGAGGAAGAATCAGTTTTCTCCAGGGACAAGCTGCTTAATGCATATACAGTAATGAGGAACCAAAAGAGAGAGAAGACCAAAATAAATAAAATTAGAGATGGAAAGGGAGACTACTACAGGTCCCAATTAGATACAGAGAATCATTATGGTGTACTTTGAAAATTTATATTCCAAAAACTGGAAAACCTAGAAGAAATGAATAGACACATAGGACCCAGCAAAATTAAATCAAGAAAATATAATACTTAAAACAGATCCATAACAGTGAGGATGATGCAGTAACAAAAAGCCTCCCAACAAAGACAGCCCAGGACCAGATGGATTCACTGCAAGCCAAACCTTTAAAGAAGACCTAATGCCAATGCTCCTCAAACTGTTCCATAAAGCAGACAGGGAAGAAGCACAATTGTCTTGGTTACTCTTCCTGTTGCTATGACAAAAATATCTGACAAAAGCAACTTAAGGGAGAAAAGTTTTATTTTGAGTGACAGAGGGTGCAGTTCATCATGGCAAGGAAGTCATGGCAGCAGAAGGGTGAGGCAGAGACAGAATGGTGAATGTTTGTGCTCAGCTCACTTTCTCCTTTTTAAAAATACTTATTTTTATTTGCTGCATATGTGTATATTGCCTGCATGTAAGTGCACCTGTGTCTTGCAATGCTCATGGAGGACAGAAGAGGCTGTCAGATGCCCTGGAACTGGAGTTACAGACAGTTGTCAGCTGCCAGTTGCTGGGATTCGAACCCGGAGCTGGAGAGATGGCTCAGATGTCACTGGCTGTTCTTGCACTTTCTTTTTATACAATCCAGGATCTCAGTCCAGGGAATGGCACCACCCAGAGTTGACAAGCCATCCCTCTTCAATGAACCTAATTAAGGTAATCATCCTAAAGGCATGCCCAGAGAGCTCTCTGGGCATTCTAGGTCTCATCAAGCTAATCATCACAAGCTGGGCACGGTGGTGCACTTTTTTTTTTTTTTGGTCTTTTTGAGACAGGGTCTCCCTGTAGCCCTAGCTGGCTTGAAACTCACTATGTAGACCAGGCTGGCCTTGAACTCACAGAGATCCACCTGCTTCTGCCTCCCAAGTGCTGGAATCAAAGGCGTGTACCACCACACCTGGCTTGAACCCATTTTTTTAAACATTGTATTTTTATTTTATGTGTATGAGTGTATTGCCTGCATGTATGTAATTGTACCTGTGTCATGCAATGCCTATGAAGGTCAGAAGAGGGTGTTGGATTCCCCTGGAACTGGAGTATGGATGGCTGTCAGGCCACCATGTGGGTGCTGGGAATCGAACTGAGGTCCTCTGCAAGAACAGCCAATACTCTTAACATTTGAGCCATCTCTCCAGCCTGTGAACCCATTTTAAGAAGCCAGAATTACCATGAAAACAAAATGCATTTCCACAATTGTGAGGTCAGATGTGTTGTGATTTAAGTGAGACTGTCCCTCATAGGCTCCAAGTACTTAAACACTTGGTCCCCACTTGGTGGTGCTGTTTGGGGAGGGTCATGGAACCTTTAGGAGTTGTGGCCTTGCTGGAGGAAGCACATCCCTGGGGGTGGGCTTTTAGCATTCACAGCCATGTCCCATTTCCAGTTTTGTAATATGGAGCACAAGGGCCCAGAGGAATATCACATAGTGATGGTCGGATCAGAAGTCCTTTATTAGCCAGTGGTCAGAGAGGGGGCTAATGCCCTAAAGAACTCTTGACCTCAAGAGGAGGCAGAGTGGGGTTAATAAAGTTTAAAACCACTTTTACATCATGCCAAAGGCAAAGCCAATAACCATAGTTACCTTAGATCACCACAGTTATACCAGACCCAGACCAGGTCAGTTAACAAAGAGGTTTTCAGTTAACAAAAGTTTTGTTTAGAAAAAAACAAGTTTCTCAGAATTGCAGAAACAAGGGGCTCCATGGAGATGCAGGTATAGCTGGGTGGAAGGACATGCTACCTGGCTTCTTGAAGGTTCCCAGTATTGTAGAAACAATGTACCCCCTGAATCTATAGGTACAGCCTTCCTGGGATGGGTTCTGGTTGGCTGGCTGCAGTTAGGGGTGGGGTGGGGGGCAGCTAGGCAGAAACACAGGGTAAAGCAAAAGTCAAATAGAACAAAACGAAGTTAGTTTTGCCATTTTAGATTCTCTTCCTGCTCTGGCTGCCTCCCAACATGCCTCCAGGCCACGATAAACTCTCATCCCTCTGGAACTATAAACCCAGTAAGCTCTTCCTTCTATAAGTTGCTTTGGTCATTGTGCTTTATCACAGCAACAGAAAAGTGAGACAACATATCTTTCTCTAAGTTTATTGACTCTAAGGTTTTTATAAATTATTTTTAGAGTTAGCATACAGAGTAATGGGTTTCATTAAGGCATTTTGGTACATGTGTGTCATCACACTTTGTTCTCATTGATTCCCCTCGCCCCATCTTCCCGTGTCCCTTCCCCCATGCCCTGCCCTCTCCTGGCTGGTTCCTTTCCTTCCCTCGGATACTTATCCTTCCGCTTCCACATCACCTATATTACATTACCCTTTCCTGTTCCCACCACACTTAAGACCTCTTCCTCTTCTGTTCTATTTCCATTTTTCTATTTCTGTGACCTACAAACACAAATATAACACACATATATACACAGATAGGTATAATTTTAAAGCTAAGTTCTGCATAAAAGAGAAAACATGTAGTATTTGTCCTTCTGAATCTGGCTCATTTCACTTACCATAAGTTCAGTTACATCTACTGTCTTTCAAATGTCATTTCATTCTTCTTTACAGCTGTAAAAAAAAATCCCTCTGTGTCTATGTGGAGTACTTCTGTACACACCCATTTTGTGGGGTTTTGTTGTTGATTTCCTTTCCCTTCCCCCCACCCCTGGCTTTTTGTTGTTGTTGTTTGAGACAGGGTCTCTCTGTAGCCCCAGCTGGCTTGGAACTCACTATGTAGACTAGACTGACCTAGATCTTACAGAGATCTGCCTACCTCTGCTGGGATTAAAGGCGTACACCACAAGACTGGGCTCCCCCTTGGCTTTTTGAGACAGGGTCTTGCTATGCAGAACTGGCTGGTCTGGAACCTGCTATGTAGACTAGGCAACCCTTAAACTCAGAGATCTGCCTACCTCTGCTGGGATTAAAGGCATATACCACCATGTTCAGCTGTTAATAGGTTAGCTATCCTTCCCAGGCCGGCCTCAATCATATGATCTTCCTGCCTCAGCATCCAAAGTTCTGCACTGTCAGGCCCATGACACACCTGGCTTCATCCCTTCTTGAGCTCTCTCGGGCTTCTTCCTCTTACATGTGTGTTTTCTCAACAATCCGTCTCTTCCTTCTTCCCAAATACCCCTTCCTTCCTTTTCTAGCTTTCTCATTTATGCACTATCTACAACTTTTCTTCTTCTTTCCTTTTCTTCCTTTCCTCTTTTCCTTCTTTTTCTCTTCTTTCTTTTTTCTTTCAAAAGAATTTTCGATTCTTTTCCTTTTTTATGTGTATGAGCATTTTACCTACATGGATGTTAAGTGTACCTCATGTGCAATGCCTGCAAAGGTCAGAAGAGGGCGTCAGATCCCTGGAACTGGAGAGTTGTTAGCCGCCATGTGGGTGCTGGGAACCAAAGCCAGATCTTCTGCAAGAGCAGCCAGTGCTCTTAACCACTGAGCCACCTCCCAGCCTCCTCCTTTTATTTTTTTCCTTTTCTTTTTTTTTTTGCTTTCCTTTTCTTTAACTTCCCTTTCTTTCTGTTCTTCTTGTCTTGTTCTTGTGTCCCTTTTCCCACATGTATTGTTTACCTTCTGTACCCCCTGCTCTCATCTCTCTATGTGGAGGTCACATTTCTCCTTTCTCACATCTCTCCCCAGAAGATACAAACCACAGTCCCATTTTACTATCTCCCTCTATGCCCAGTCTTGACCCTCCTCCTTCCTCCACTTCTCTACCTTTCTGCTATTTCTCTTCTCTTGTATTTTGTCTGTTTCTTTTCTGGGCAAACTGTTCACGCCCCACCCCAACTGCCCTCCTTTGTTCATTTGGAGACTGGGTCTTAGTGTACATCCCAGGCTGGTCTGTATTTTCCAGCCCGTTGGCTCTGCCTCTCCAGTGTTGGATGACACTCACAAACCACCATGCCATATATTCCCCCAAGGGACTATATGCACATACACACACCCGCCTGTCTCCACTTCTATCTTCCTTGATTCTCAGTTCCTCATTCACATTTCCAAGGATGGCACAATTTAACCATTCCTGGATCTTGTGGCTGTGATTTCTGGGTTAAGTAACACTGGTCACCCAGCCTCCACCTTGAAGGGAGACCCATTTCCCAACCTTTGGGAAAACTGAAGTTTTATACCCTTATAACTGGGTCTCCATTGTTCCTAGGTAGTCTAAATAAGACCCCAAGTCTAAGGCTACAGGCGGTTTTGAGCAAGGGATCTCTTCTCCACCCTCCTGCTTAGACCCCAAATGCTGTGTGAGCTCAGACCCAAGGGCTGCCCTCTAAACTTAGTAACTTCCTTCCTATAAGCCAAGTCTGCCAGCCCCTGCCAGCTAACACCAATGTTCTAGAGGGCTACTCAGGCAGGACAAGGTGAAGGTGTTGACTAGGGCAGGCAGGAGAGGGGTAGGGTGTCTCTTCATACTTGGTGTTGTCTGGGGCCCTTGAGAGTGAATACATCTTGCTGTGGCAGTGAGGAATCCTGTCAGCAGGGTATGTAATGGGGAGTGGTTCTGACAGGGACCAAAGCTCTCAGTCAGAAAATTCATCTCTGTTCAATTTTTATTGGACATTGAAGCCAGGGCTCCCCACAGCCCTCAACCTACACCCTGAGGATGGCTCTGGCCAGATGCAGAGTCCTGCTGCTCCCCTCAGGCTCTGTCCATGTGTTTAGAGGGATGAAGAGAATATGGGTAGGAAGAAAAGAACTGGAAACAGATCACCAGTCCTCTGCCTATCTTGTGGTAGGACCTCCCTGTCTCCAAGAGTCACCAGTCCAGTATCCAGATATCCACAGTGTTGGAGGAAACCCCTCACTGCCAGACTACATGGCCCGGGTGTGCCCATTGGCCAGGCGCCCAGTTGCTCGGCTCCGGGGACCATTGGTGGTGGCTGCCCCAGACCCTTGAGTGACCCCATTCTTCAGCTGCAGGCCTTCGGGAACTGCCTCATCATTATCGCTTGAGTCCGATTCTTCGACATCACTGCGAATGTCTTTTCCCATCTGTAGAAACAGAGATGTGGGCTGAGCTCAGAGCACAAGGAGGAGGAGCTTGAGGCAGGGCTTGGAGCTTGGGGTGGGGCTTGGGGCTCCTGGAGAAGCACTGTGAGCTGACCCCAGCCATTCTCTTTACCTGACCCTTCTTGAAGAAACCATAGAACATGCGCAGGATGAGGAGGAACCAGTACACATGTAACATCTGCAGCATCACCAGTAGCGTGTTGAAGTAGTAGTAGCCAAAGAACGGGCTGAAGTTCTTGATGGAGTCAAACAAAGTGGAGTAGATGACCCTAAAGCAGGAAGTATGGAGTTCCACCAATAGCTTTAAATAGCTCCCAGTTCTAGGAACCTTTAACTTGGATGGACCTATGTTCCTCGACCTTCTATGGCTCCCCAGTGCCACCTGCCCAGATGGCATCTAATTCTTCAAGTGAATACTAAGCAGCCTTTCTTCACCTGCTTATACTAAATCAGTGGAAACACAAGTCAACTGGCCTTTCTGAACCTCAAACCCCAAAGGGTGATTAATACCCTAATGCCCTCCTGGGTGGCCCTTTTGTGTTACATATCTCGCCTCAGATGCACAGCAATTCTTTACAACTTGGGACCTGCCTGCTCATCTCACATAGCAACAGAAAGCCAGACAGAGACAGCATTTCTTTTTTTTTCTTTTTTTTAATTTTGGTCTTTTTGAGACAAAGTCTCCCTGTAGCCCCAGCTGGCCTGGAGCTTACTATATAGACCAGGCTGGCCTTGAACTCACAGAGATCTGCCTGCCTCTGCCTCCCAAGTGCTGGGATTAAAGGCATGCCCCTCGATGCCCTGTAAGACAGCATTTCTGAAACCTCAGCCCCTGTACCTCTACTCCTTGACATCAGCTCTGGCCACACCATCTTTCTTCAAGGTCACAGCTCTTATTTCCTCCACTTAACCTTTGCCATCAAAGCCAATTCTGCTGTTATTTCATATGCAAGAAAGAAATCATGGGCCCAGAGAGATGGTTCAGCAGATAAGAGCACCAGCTGCTCTTGCAGAGGACCCAGGTTCAGTTCCCAGTACCAACATGGCAGCTAACAATCATCTGTAACTCCAATTTTAGGGGATTTGACACTCTCTTCTGGCCTTCCTGGGCACTGCACAACATGAGTGCACTTACATACATGCAGGCAAAACACTCATAAAATAAAAATAAATGAAAAAATATTCTAAAGAGAACCCAGAACACTCAACTGTTGATCTATCTTTGCCCCGTGGCTACCTCATTTTCCTCTTCTTTTCCCCTTGTACGTCTTGTGCCTTCAGGGACCCAAAGCTCACTTCCCCTCTCCATCCTCTTCTGCCCTAATCTTCTCCTCCACCTCATTCCACCTCTCCTTCCACTCTCTATTCCTCCTCGTCCTCTCTTCACTCTTTTTTCATAATCGCCTCCTCCCTCTTCTAACTTCTGGGGGGTTTGAATAAGACTGTCCCCCATTCACTCCAAGTATTTGAATACTTGACCCCAGTTGATGGCACTGTTTGCAGAGGTTTAAGAGATGCCCTTAAGCTGGGCAGTGGTGCACACCTGTAGTCCCAGCACTTGGGAGGCAGAGGCAGGCGGATCTCTGTGAGTTCAAGGCCAGGCTGGTCTACATAGTG